TCTACAGGAGAAACCCTCCCCTCCAGAAATTTGTCTGTGTCTGGAGACATTTCTGTTTGTCACAGCTGGAGAGGGTGTGCTACTGGCATCTGGTACGTGGAAGCCAGGGTTGCTTCTAAACATCTTACAATATACAAGATACACACTACCCCCCCCCCACCCAAAGAATTATCTAGGTCAAAATGTTAATAGTACCATGGTACAGAAACCCTGAATTAGGGCAACCAGCACATTAGATATTAAAGTCATACATCAAATTTATTTATATTAAGGATGCAACTTTAATTCAGTTGGGTGATCATTGAAAGTCCTGTGAGGATGGAAAATTGAGAATGTTTCCTTCCATCAATATTGTATTCATAGCTAGGCAACCCTAAAAAGTCCAGTTACATTTTGTCAGTGTTTAATGACTTAGTCCAGTGATAGTATTGATTTCAGCTATATTTGTAAAACTTGCTATCCCATACAGCCCTATGAATAATTGGTGCACATTAAATAATTATTAAATAACCTAAATTAATATGGGAAATTTTGCAGCTGCTAACAAGGTCACATCGATTTGTCATTCACTGCTGAGACCAACATGTAGGAAGAAATTTTTTTCCCCAATGTTGCCTACTTTGGATTTCCAGGAGGGTTTGGGGCTTTTGTTTTATTTTGTTTGCTTTGCTTTTATTTGAAGTGCATTCTCAGCCTTATTTTCCGTAAGCCCTAGGCATATTCTCATTTGGCTTGCCAAAAAAAAGAAAGAAAGAAAGAAAAGAAAAATCCATGTTTCCAGACCAGATGGTATGTGTGTCATTTTTTCAAGTCTGAGAAATTCACTGTACTTCCCAGTACTATCATATATTCTCAAAGCAGGATTACAGAGCCCATTTCTTGAAAATCATTATCTAATTGTAAAATTCCCTCTAAACAATAGTGCATTTTGCTGGCTTTTTTGGGCAGTTTATCTTGGTTGCCTTGGACAAAATTGTTACCGTGTTCTCTATAAGTGTTTAGTTGCCTGAATTCTTTGTTAGTAATTTATAATTGCATTTCTCTACAATCAAAGATGAAAATTTGGCAGCTTCTTTATTCTATTGAAAATAATGAATTTCCTTGTTTCTACAAGGATGTTCAACAACAAAATTGGGCTGAAGTTTTTAATGAGCTCAGTAATCTTCAAGGGACTTGCCCAAATGCAGTTGAAGTTCCAAGTAAGAGCAGATGTTTCTAAGAATATGCAGAGTTCACTGAGCCTTAAACTTCTCATTTCTTGTCTTCTCAAAAGTCATTATGTGAGTGATTAACATAACATAATAAAAAAAAAAAGTCATTATGTGACCAAGTTGGGTGTAAGGTAGCAAATGTGTTTCTTTATATTTACCACACTGCCCGTTAGAGGGCAGCAATGTACAGACACAGTGGCCAGAAAACCAAATACTTGTGTTTCAGGGGCATGAGCCCTTTTTGCATCTTCTAAACACAACTGAATATAATTTAGTAACTATCCCATAATCTGAATTTTTATGAGGAATATCTATACAGCTACAGGATAGCCTCATTTTGAACTTTGTTTTAAAGTGATTAAAAAATGCTTTTTAGTCTTAATTGTGTATAGATTTGGTTTATAATATTTCAAATGGCTTATGAGAAGAAAAACACTATTAATGACTAATAGCAATATCTTTTCTTTAATAAGTAATTTCTGTTTTAAGCCTTACTGACTACAATTATTATTGTTGTTAAAATATAAGTAGCTGGTGATATGATGGGATTCCTGGGAGAACAATATAGTTTAAGTTTTAGAGGCATGGTGTCATACCATAATATATGCAGTGAATAAATATTTTTTTCAAATGAATGTACTCTAAATTTTTGGAAAACAGCTTTCATATTTATTCTGGGGAATAAATATGTGTGTATGTGAGTGTTCTAAAAGCCTTCCTATAACAACTCATTTTGGCCTCAGAAGAACCTTATGAAGTAGGTACTGTAGTATTATCTAGATTACAGATGAGGAAACTAAAACACAAGTGGTGAGTGAATGGACGCAGCACCAGGTCACATGACTAGTAAGTGGCTGAGCTGGAATTGGACCCAGAGGTCTGACATCAGAGACCAGGCACTAAAATACTTTGTTGTACTACTCTCTCATTGAATTGTCTAACCTCTCCCTCTGAAGTGTAGTGCCACCTGTCTCACTTTCTTACACAGAGTCCTGTTTGGGGGCTCTTCACTCCATTAGCCTTTTTAATCTTTCACTGGTACCAATTGCCATACTATATTAATTATTACAGGCTTATATAAGTTTTGATATCTGGGAAGTGTGACTTTTCCACTTACTCTTCTTGAGAATTATCTTGACTATTTTGGGATCTTTATTCTTCCTTATAAAGTTTAGGTGAACTTAGCACATTGCAGGATTTTGATTAGAAATAATATGTGTATCCTTATTTTTCTAAATGACCTTAAGTCATTCTTGGAACAATATAGAAGAATATACAGTAAGAGAGTTAGATAAGATATAGTTAGAAAGGATACTAGCATCACTAAGATTCATTTTCTACTTTTATTTTTCCATGTTTTAAAATTTGTTACAATAAATATTATTTACATCATGGAAAATAAGTTGAAAATTTTAATTCTTATTACAAAGAAAATAAATGTAAATAGAAGCAGGAGTAATAAAGAATGTACTTTAAATGATTCTGATCCAGACCTCAAAATCCACATGAATTACCTTTCCAGCCTGAAAAAAAATCTGCCAATGGGTTTTAGAAAATTGATATTTGTAACTTTGAGAAGGTATCTTAGACATTGTGCCTAAAGAACAGAGAAAAACAAACATACTACTTTTGAAAAGGACAGGTTCAGAAACTACAGAGAAGTGATACTGGTGTTAATCCAGGCATAATTTTAGAGGAGTTTTTTCAGCATATAGTTTAGAAAGTGGTGATCATGAAGACTTGGAGAGAAATTGATTTATTTATTGTCCCCTGCCTTTGCTAAAGATGCAAAGGAAAAATACAAAGTAATAAGGGTTACTTTGGCAAGAACAAGTTTTATATCTGACTTCACCCTCTCAGGAACCTTGTTAAGAGAAGCATAAGTATATCTCTTAGGCAAAGTTATTTACCCAGTATCACGTAATGAGTAGAACAAAAACTAGAACCCAGGCTTTTTTACACTTAGAAGAGTATTAATTCCATTGTGTTGCTGAGATATGCTGCCTATATCATCTTCCATGACCCAGCTGTTTATCTGGGTCTGGCCAAATAACCATAAAGAATTGTGGGGAACAGCTCTCATAGAGGATGACGATGTCCATTTTAACTGTCTGAAGAACATATACAGTAGTACTGAGCTTAATCTACAACATGAATAATAGGTTCAGGGGGAAAGGGGAATTTTCTGGTTGCAAAGGATAATGGTGGTAAAGCAGCCTTCCCTGTAGAATGGTATTGAAGGATGGATTCCATTCTGCCTGTAGTATTTGAAATATAATCCTACTTAACTAGGTGACTAGATAAAAATTTATGCCAGCCTTAAGGGTCTATGAAAATATTAACTGACACATTTAATTCAATTACTGCCAGCCTAACATGTGTTCAACATTGTGTCCCACTCATTAGGAAATAGTTTAGGGTGCCTGCTATGTGCCAGGCAGTTTCTGGGTGCAACAGATGTATAGCAGAGGACAAAAAATATTTTTTTGATTGGCTGAAATGTTGGCCCTCATGGAGCTTCATTTTAGTAAGAGAAGGGTAGACAATAAACGAGTTAAATAGAATTTATAATATGTGAGAAGATGATAAGTTCTAAGGAGAAAAATATAGTAAGAGGAATAGGGAGTGTGTTAGGGGGTATAATTTTAGATAGGGTGGCCAAGAAAGGTGGCATTTGAGCTAAGAAATGCAGAAAGGGATAGAGGATGCTGTTCAAATTGTAGGGGGATAGGCAGAAGGAACAGTTAAGTGCAAAGGCCTTGAGGTGGGAACAAGAAGGCCTATGTGGCTAGAGCAGAATGAAGGAAAACAGTAGCAGGACACAGTCCTATAGGAAAGCCAGATTTTGTAGGGCCTTGTAATTATATTAGGAACTTTGGATTTTACTCTCAGTGAGATGAAGAGCCATTTGAATGAATATAGTTAGGTGATGGTTTGACATACTTTTAACTAGATCACTCTGTCTGCAGTGTTAAGAATAGAGTAAGGGAAGGAGCGAGGGTGGAAGCAAAGAGACCAGTCAGGAGACTATTCTTCTGTGGTAATATAGAGATGTTGGCTTGAACCACAGTGTTGATGTAAAGTGGTCAGATTATGGACATATTTGAAAGGCAAAATCCAAAAGGTTTGCAGAGGAATGGATAATTGGGTTTTAGAGGAAGGCATTAAGATGACTAAGCTTTTCACCTGAGTAGAAAAATAAATATGGCATTTACTGAAGTGAGGAAGGTATAGAAAACAGATTTGGAAGAGAAGAAGAGTAAGTGCTCCATTTTGGACATATATTTAAGATGTTATTTTAAATCCAAATGGAAATACTATGTGTGGACAGTTGAATATATGGGTATGGCATTCAGGAGAAAGCTCAGTGGGGGATAAAAATTTATGAATTCTTGGTGTTTCTATGGTTTAAATATTGAGAATGGAAGCTGTCACCAAGGAAATAAGTATAAATAGAAAAGAGGCCCAAACTCTGAGCCCTGGGGTTTTCACATAATTAAGAGATAAGGAAGATGAAAAGTAGACAAAGATGTAGCAAGAAGACCTAGAAACCAAGTGAAGAAAGCCTTCGTGGAGAAGGAGTAAGAGTGATAAGCTATATCAGATGCTGCTGATAGATCACGTAAGAAGTAAGATTCTGGTACTCTCTTTTATGGCATGTATCTGAGTTATGTGTAATCACTCATCTGTCTGATTTCAGTTTGTGGTCATCTGAGCTCCCACTCTCTGCCTGGCAATCTGCCATTGTTATTTTAGCTTTTGACTCATTTTACCTGTTTGATGTTGCAGGAGAATCCCAACCCTCATATGGCATTCCAGAAAGTTCCACGCCCGACAGAAGGATCCCACTTGCGAGTTCATATTCTTCCTTTCCCAAAGATTAATGAAACTCGGGTACAGGAATTAATACAGGAAAATCTTGCTAAGAACCAGAACGCACCTCCTGCTTCACGGGTGGAAAAGAAATGTGTTGTGCCAGCAGGTCCACCTGTTGGTATGTATTTGTCTGTTCTTTTGTTTTAAAAGTAAACCTTTCATCAAGATATAAGACACAAAAATGAAAGTGTACCACTTGACAAATTTTTACAAAGTAAACAAACTTGCATAACCTGAATTGGAGCATTGTTAGCACTCAAAACACTGTTCCATTCACTGTCTCTCACAAATGGTAACCATTAACCTATCTGCTACCACTACAGTATCTTTTCTTTTTAAAAAACAGCTATATTGAGATAGAAGTCACACACAATAAAGCTCACTCTTTAAAGTGCACAATTCAATTGTTTTTAGTATATCCCAGAGTTGTGCGCCCATTTTCACTATCTAATTTCAGAATATTTTCATTATGCCAAGTAGAAATACCCATACCTAGTAGCAGTACTCCCATTTTCCCCCAAAACTACTCCTTCCCTAGCATGAGGCAATAATCTACGTTCTATCTTTATAGATTTTTACCTATCTTAACATTTTATATACATGGAGTTGTACAGTATGATCTTTTGTAACTGGCTTCTTTCATTTAGCATAATATTTTCTTTCCTTTTTTTTTTTTGCTTAAAATTTTTATTATTTATTTTTATTTAAATTCAATTAATTCACATATAAATGTATTATTAGTTTCAGACATAGAGGTCAGTGATTCATTAGTGTTATATAATACCCAGTGCTCATTACATCACGTGCCCTCCTTAATGTCTATCATCCAGTTACCCCATCCCCCACCTCCCCTTTCCTCCAGCAACCCTCATTTTGTTTCTTATGCTTAAGAGTCTCCTATGGTTTGTCTCCCTCTCTGATTTCATCTTGTTTTATTTTTTCCTCTCTTCCCCTATGATCCTCTGTTTTGTTTCTTAAATTTTACATGTGAGTGAGATCGTATGATAATTGTCTTTCTCTGATTAACTTATTTCCCTTAGCATAATACCCTCTAGTTCCATCCAAATCATTGCAGATGGGAAGATTTCATTTTTTTCATGGCTAAGTAGTATTCCGTTGTATGTGTATATACCACATACTCTTTATCCATTCATCTGTCAGTGGACATCTGGGCTCTTTCCATAGTTTGGCTGTTGTGGATATTGCTGCTATAAACATTGAGATGCAGGTGCCCCCTCAAATCACTACATTTGTATCTTTGCAGTAAATACCCAGTAAGTGCAATTGCTGGGTCATAGGGTAGCTATGAGGAACCTCCATACTGTTTTCCAGAATGGCTGCACCAGCTTGCATTCCCACCAACAGTGTAAGACGGTTCCCCTTTGTCCACATCCTTGCCAACATCTGTCATTTCCTGACTTGTTAATTTTAACCATTCTGACTGGTGTGAGGTGGTATCTCATTGTCATTTTGATTTGTATTTCCCTGATGATGAGTGATATTGAGCATTTTTTTCATGTGTCTGTTGGCCATTTAGATGTCTTCTTTAGAGAAATGTCTGTTCATGTCTCCTGCCCATTTCTTAATTGGATTATTTATTCTTTGGGTGTTGAGTTTGATAAATTCTTTATAGATTTTGGATACTGGCCCCTTATCTGATATGTCATTTGCAAATATTTTCTCCCATTCTGTGAGTTGTCTTTTGGTTTTGTTGACTGTTTCCTTTGCTGTGCAAAAGCTTTTTATTTTTTATTTATTTTTTTTAAAAGATTTTATTTATTTATTCATGAGAGACAGAGAGAGAGAGGCAGAGGGAGAAGCAGGCTCCCAAGGAGCAGCGAGCCCGATGCGGGACTGGATCCCAGGACCCTGGGATCATGACCTGAGCCGAAGGCAGACGCTTAACCATCTGAGCCACCCAGGCGCCCTGCAAAAGCTTTTTATCTTGATGAAGTCCCAATAGTTCATTTTTGTCTTTGTTTCCCTTGCCTTTGGAGATGTGTCTAGCAAGAAGTCATTGCGGCTGAGGTCACAGAGGTTGCTGCCTGTGTTCTCCTCTAGGCTTTTGATAGATTCCTGTCTCACTTTTAGGTCGTTCATCCCTTTTGAGTCTATTTTGATGTATGGTATAAGGAAATGGTCCAGTTTCATCCTTCTGCATGTGGCTGTACAATTTTCCCAACACCCATTTGTTGAAGAGACTTTTGTCCATTGGATATTCTTTCCTGCTTTGTCGAAAATTAGTTGACCATAGAGTTGAGGGTCCATTTCTGGGGTCTCTATTCTGTTCCATTGATCTCTGTGTCTGTTTTTATGCTAATACCATACTGTCTTGATGATTATAGCTTTGTAATAGAGCTTGAAGTCTGGAATTGTGATGCCTCCAGCTTTGGTTTTCTTTCTCAAATTTCTTTGGCTATTTGGGGTCTTCTCTGGTTCCATACAAATTTTAAGATTATTTGTTTCATTTCTTTGAAAAAAGTTGATGGTATTTTGATAGGGATTGCATTAAATGTGTAGATTGCTCTAGGTAGCATAGACTTTTTTTTAAGTTTTGATTTTTTTTTAAGATTTTATTTATTTATTTGACAGAGAGAGAGAGTGCACAAGCAAGGGGAGTGACAGGCAGAGGCAGAGGGAGAAACAGACTCCCCACTGAGCAGGGAGCCTGATGCGGGACTCAATCCCAGGACCGCAGGATCATGACCTGAGACGAAGGCAGCCACTTAACCAACTGAACCACCCAGGCATCCCGGTAGCATAGACATTTTAACAACATTTGTTCTTCCAATCCATGAGAATGGGACGTATTTCCATTTCTTTTGTCTTCCTCAATTTCTTTCATGAGTGTTCTATAGTTTTCTGAATACAAATCCTTTGCCTCTTTGGTTAGGTTTATTCCTAGGTATCTTAGGTTTTGGGTGCAATTATAAATGGGATCAACTCCTTAATTTCTCTTTCTTCTGTCTCATTGTTAGTGTACAGAAATGCAACTGACTTCTGGGCATTGATTTTATATCCTGCCACTTAGCTGAATTCCTATGTGAGTTTTAGCAGTTTTGGGGTGGTGTCTTTTGGGTTTTCCACATAGAGCATCATGTCATCTGTGGAGAGTGCGAGTTTGACTTCTTTTTTGCCAATTTGGATTCCTTTGATTTCTTTTTGTTGTCTGATTGCTGAGGCTAGGACTTCTAGCAGTGGTCAAAGTGGACATCCCTGCTGTGTTCCTGACCTTAGGGGAAAAACTCTCAGTTTTTCCCCATTGAGGATGATATTCACTGTGGGCCTTTCCTATATGGCTTTTATGATATTGAGATATGTTCCCTCTACCTCTACACTATGAAGAATTTTAATCAAGAAAGGATGCTGTACTTTGTCAAATGCTTTTTCTGCATCTGTTGAGAGGATC